CATGTCAAAGCCCCTCCTCCTCCCTGTAGCTCGTGAAACCCATATTTTGGTACTGCTTTTTAAACTGGGCCTTGCTTGGACATTGCTCCACTTCCAATCCGTTCCACAACCTCACTCCACACACAGAAAGACAAAATGACTTGAGTGTTGTACGAAATCTTCCATGTTTTAATTCGAAATCCCCCCTCCAGTAATAAGCCCCATCTCTGTAAAAAAAAAAAAAAAGTTCTGAATATTTACAGGAAGTTGGTTGTTTAGTGCTTTGTACATTATCTGTGCTGTTTGAAAATGAACGAGGTCTGTGAATTTCAGAAGTTTTGATTTTAAGAAGAGTGAATTTGTGGGATCTCTACAACCAGTTTTATATATTATCCTTATTGCTTTTTTTTGTAGTATTGATAGCGACTGCAGTGAACATTTATATGTATTGCCCCAAACCTCTGCACAGTTATTTAGATTTGGTAAAACCAGTGGACAGTACAGAATATGGAGTGATGTGTGGTCCATTTATGTGGTTCTACAGGTTGAAAGTAACCATCCAAAACAACTACTTCACAATATTCCTATGTTTCAGTTCTTGAGACAGTGGAGAAACTACACTACTATTAATGCCTTCCACTCTAAAGCTGCTGAAATGAAACTACAATGACAGTACATCGGTACCCTGTTTGGTATCATGCTGTATCCCTTCAGTCTATCACAGGGTTATACACAGAGAGAGTTAAAACACAACTGTCGGTGCTGAATATTCTCCTTTAACAAAAATACAATGTGGAAACTCTAGAATGTCTTCAAAAGTGACCCATCTCTGAATAACACCAGCTCTGCACCTTCCATGATCACATTTAACTGTTGATTCAACCAAAGAGACAGGTTGGTTTATCCTGACATCAGAAAACCATCTAACATTGTCTCCTGGCTGCTCAGTCAGCCTACTTGTTTCTTTTGCTGTGACCTCTGCGCACAATGTTCAGCTCAACAGACACCACATGCACTTTATTGAGCCGTACTGGCGAAAAATACTCCACTGAATCCTTCATCTGCTACTGCAGCATACATGCTGTGTATATGTTGGAATATCTCTGTGGTCTGTGTGTTAGACAAACTTAAAGAGTTTAAGAGATTTAGATATAGGAAATAAAACAGCAATATAAACACAAAACATGTATTATATTATTGCCTGACATTATGTTCAGGTTATCCAAGACTCTGCAGCATCTTTACAGTCTGGCGGATAGAAAAAATCCTTCCTTCTCCCAGAGGCATTGACATAATAAACTCACTGCAGAGAAACATATTGGATCCACACTTTAAACACAGTGGAGCCCTTTGGCACTAATGAACATCTGACTTTGTGGAGTTTCCTGTAAGTTTTCAGTGTTGGCAACTTAAACAGAACTTATTGTTGTATTTCTCTACCTTTATTCTGTAAACTTTACATTTGTTTTGTTTCTGACATGATGCCTGCTTTTTGATGTGTTATGGTCTCTGGTGGTTGGGCGCCTTGTTTATGTGGTGGATCCATTGTGTCCTTTGTTTGGGGAGATGGTTGTGTTCATTTTCATGCGTGCCTGACTGCGGAGCATGCTCCAGAGCCCACCTGTCCTCAGTCAGGGATGACGAAGGTGGTCATCAACTTTCTTTGTAAACTCAGGTTTTTCTGCTTCAAACTCTGTGTGCGTTCACATAAAAGGAGGCATTTGAACACATCATGTGACTCTTCTTCTGCACAAAATGAAACTATCATGTGCAGCTGCTTCAGTCAACAGGTTGTTATGACAATGAGGAATAGAAAAAATAGACAGGGATGCTGGTTGACAACTCTTAAATGTGTATGTCTGTGGATGTGTAATGTATTTATTTTACCGATCAGTGCAGCTGCTTCTTTCTAACTGACAACTGCAAATCAGAGCTGTGCAACTTTAAACTTAATATATTTAAAAATGACATTGTGTTGGAGTGCATTTAGGGCTGACACTGTCCCATAATGCAGGATATCACTTTAAGTTTTGCAAAAATCAAAGCAAAATTAATGTTACTGATTGAAAATTCTCTGCTAATAAATACCAGCACAATAATCCATTACACAACAGTGTAAACAGACTTGACCGAAAATCAGGACCATACATAAAAACATGTTTATGTGATGTCTGCATCGCCAACTAAATACAGTTCTGGTTCCCACGGCAACGTGATGCATACAGTGTGTGATATTGTAACTACACAGCTTCATTCAGTGATATTAGTAACACACAACCCAGCATGTTTGCAGACAAAACACATTTCCTCAGCTGAGAATCTGTATCGCTCCTAAAGAATCATCTGGAAATGATATGGTAAAAGGGAGACGCAGCTGATTTAAATCTGAAAATCTGAACATAACCTGCTCGCCACCAGGTTAGCTCCACAGCATCAGTTACCATGGAGATCTAGCAGGTTAAAAGAGAGCCACCTTTGTGGTACAACCCTCTGATCTGCCCTGAAGCCTTTGTTCTCTCCACCTCCCGGCCTGCCTGATTGGACCACCACCTGGTTCCCTCCACCTTCGTCCAATCAAACTGCAGCAATCACCACAGTGGAGGCGGCTGGGAGTTGGTGTGAACAATTTGCCTTGATGCTGCTTCTGTCTGTATCTTTGTGTGCTAAACTGTAACTTCAGTCGACAGCTGCTAGCTTAGTGTGAAGACTGCAGCATCTGTTAGCTGCTGTCCAACTTGGTTTAGGAGTTCCTCCTGTGAAGGCACTGGTTTGTTGGGATTTTGTTGGTTCTGGGTGTTGCTATTGTGTTTATGTTTGGCTAAGGAGTTTAGATTAGATTAGTTTAGTTTAGCTAGCTTTTCTTAGCCTTTGTTTGGTTTTATTTGGTTCTTAGATTTTAGCAACATCTGCCAGCCTTGTTTTCTTTGCACAATCGCTGTTTGTGTTAATTACATCACTGAGCAATAAATTGCTTTACCTCCACCAATTACAACAGATTCTTGTTGCATCCAGCTGACCCTAGAGGCTGGGTGGTAACAAATGTAAGTTAATTGCTGGATTTATCAATTTTCCTCTGATCTGATACCTCTGATAGATATTTTTTTCTGGTACTTCTTGTGTTTTTATCTTTGCAACTTAAAGACATGCCTGTGTTCATGTGTCTCTCACATTATTAGTGTTAGGGTTGTGGCACTTGGACACTGACTATGACAACTCCCAGCCCTGCTTTTATGATCCAAAAGATCTGCACCCTTGTTGAACTAATTATATAATGACAGGTGCACACCTAATTTACATTTCAATGTGTCTGTATTCCTCATGTCTTTGCCCACTTTGGCTCTGATGAAGACACAGTAGCGTTAGAAGATTAGTGTGTCTGCACAGGAAAAGGCTGTGAATGAAGCAGTGTGCTCCAGCCTCCTTTTGGACAGTGAACATTTGCAGTCCTCCACCTGAGAGAGTCAAGGGACCTATTAACACCACTGAATCAAAACGTCATTGTATTCAGGTTGAATTGACATAATGATGCTAGTAATTGCATCAACTTAATACGGTGTATATTTCAACTCAAATTTCAGCGTTGGTTGATTTAAAACTACATTCAAGATGTAACAACTAAACAACTAGGCCTAAATGGACAGGACTCCAGTCTCCTCCCTGACCTAATAGACATCTGTGGACTATTCCAGATGGTGACGATGTCTTACACAAATAAATTCCACTAAGGCAATGACTAAAGCTGCACTTGCTCATACAGTTGATAGAACACATTGTGGTGCTGCATGTTGCTAAGGTTAGTCAAATGTAACATGGCTGTCCTATCCCTTAGTTCAGCCTGCAAGTGGGTAAGAACGGTAAAGTCTCATGTGACAAATCTGCTCACTTAGAAGGGTTTTTAAATGCATATTCACAATTTGTGGAGCAACTTAAATACTGTGTGTTGAAACAGGCAATTGCTGTTCAAAATGAAAAAGTAAATGACGATGTTTTTGTTGAATGAATTAAATTCATCAAAGCTAACTGGAGCAAGTTTATTTATTCAACTTAAAAACTTGTGTTTGTAATTATAGTAATTAAGGACGTAATTATTTATACAAAATAATTCTTAAAGACATAGTAAAAGTAGGTGGAACAACTCATTTATTTGTTTGTTTTACTAGTAATCAGGCTTTAATAGCTCCATGCTGTATCCTGTAGAAAGAAGCCTGTTTCTACTAGTTACATTTTTTTTTCTTCACGTGATTACTACTGAAACTTTTAATCACGATGTCTTTTTAATTTGGGATTTACGTTTTCATTTCTTGTTACACTCTTTGTTTACAATTTTCTGATGACTAATTACAATGGCAGAGGAATAAATATGAAAATGATGTCACTGTATATTTTTGCACGTCTTTTTAGTTTTCATCACAGTATCTCAGGATGGAACAAATATTTGTAGGCAACAGAATAAATAACTTCAATCAGTAACTTAATCAAATGTCTCACAACTACATCAGACGTGTTTTGTTTTTAACTGTCACAGCCACATTTATTCTCAGTCACCAGAATGTGAACACACACACAGTCTCTGTGTATTTTCACTTTAAATCATCAGCAGTGTGTTCGTGGAGGGTTTGGTGGTGGGGTGCACCGAGGGAGGGAGTGCTTCTACTTTTTAACACTTTCTGTTTTGGAAGTTGTGTGCTGCGTTGTTTCTTAACCACTGGGTCAACAGAAATGGGTGACTGTGGGTGCAGACTTTGTGAAAATGGCGTCTGATAGAGGGCTGCTTTCACCAGAGCAGCAGCGCTTCCAGTGAGCAGAACATCAGCGCCTTCTAAGTCATCTTCAGAAGATGAAGTCTGCCGCTGCAGCAGCACTTGCGTCGGACAAGAAAACCCACAGGAGCCGCTTTCATCATGGGGAACTACGGCTGCTCTGCTGCAGATGTTTCCAACGAACAAGGCAATGAGCATTTTCACGGATACCAGGGGACATGATCGCCGTCCACTTATTTATCTCCCGTTCACTATCGAAGAAGAAGAAGAAGAAGTGACCTTCTACGAGGCGGAAGATGTCAGCGCTGAAAAAGGTAGGAAGGACGCACAGTGTGAGCGCATGAAGCGAGCCCGCAGCGCAGCGCAGCCCCTTGTTGTTGTTGTTGTTGTTGTTGTTGGTTAATCTCAGGTGCATCTACATGAGCTCTGATGGAGGGCTGAATTAGACCATCAGACACCAGGGCGTCGCACCTGGACGCACAAAGTGTGCATGTTAGAAACTGTGTGAAGTTGTGCAGAGCCACAATGAGTCAGTGTCTGAATGATTTTCCACTTGCCACAGTATTCCTGATTCCTACAGCGATCAGTCAGCGGCGCCCAGTGATGCAGGGTGTGTGGGTGAGGTGTCTCAGGATTAGTGTACATGTGTTTGGAGGTGGAGGGGGGGTGGGCTGGGGGTGGGGCGGTATTTTTCCCTAGGTTAAATCCATTGAGAATGGAGGGGACCCACAGCTTCTTCCCTCAAGTTTCTTCTGTCTAGAAATGCCCACATGTTCCCTTTGTGCTGCTCCCCTCCATTCAGTCAATGTGTGTGTGTGGAGTGACTCAGCTGTATTGTACTATATCTGTCATCCATCTTTTCATTTGTCACAGGTGTTACCATGGCTACTACAGACTCACTGCTGTCTTTTCTTTGAGAAGGACTCAGGTAAGCGGAGGGGAGGGGTGATTAAGTCAGTCTTAATGACGAGGGGTCATTCAGACTAATAGGCAGCTCTGTCAGTTACATTTCGTCGAACGGCTTTATACAAGCAGTGACGTGAAGGAATGACAGTGTGGTGCTGGAACCTTCTCGGTTCCTGTCCTTATTCACCTGGTCACCATGTCCAGCTGTAATTTGGTAATAGTATTAAGGCCACTCAGAGGGATTGCTTATGTTCCACTTTCAGCAAATCAAATAAAAAGACCGAAACCAAAACTCTGTTTATCCTACATGGATATATTGTCTGTATAGCCACGGCGTGATATAGTGTAACTTATTCCTCTAGACCTCCACTGAGTTTCAGCCATAGACTGTATAATGATGATGATGATAATAATAATTCAATCAATCTAATCTATTAATTTATGGAGCACTTCAAAATCCAAGTGTCTAAGTGTTTCAAAAGGCAGCAAAATAAAACAAGTCATTAAGTCATCAGATTTTAAAAGACAAATACAAACAGCATGTGAAACCAACTCAGTGTAATATTGATATTAATATTATTGAAGGAAATACGCGGCAATTTGCTGAAAATTAAAACACTGCTGACCTGATTTCCTCAGGCAAATTGTTCCAGAGCCTTTAGGTCCCAAATGCAAAAACTCCTGCCTACTTTTTCGTTTCCCCTTTAGTTGTCAGCTTGGCCCCTGGAACAATTCAATTCAATTTAATTCAGTTTTTATAGCGCCAATTCACAACATATGTCGTCTCATAGCACTTCACATAGTAAGGTAAAGACCTTATGAATTCTAAACAAGGAACAGAGAACCCAACAATCCAAAGTCGCCTTTGGATTCTTTATGAGCAAGCAGTCGGCGAAAACCCCTCCTTTAATGGGAAGGGAAAAAATACCTCAGACAGAACCAGGCTCAGGGAAGGTTGACATCTGCCTCAACCAGTGAGGGTGAGAGTGGGGATGAAGGTGTGGAGGAAAGCAGGAGAACAAACAAACAATACGAACAGAACAATGAACATTTTGGAGGTCGGTGAGGCCAGAAATTGCAGATCAGAGACGTGTAGCTCCAGATCCAGAGATATCTGCAGAGAGAAGAAACACAGGACCTTCGGGGAAACACAGAGTTAGTGACATGTAATGGTAGTTCTAACAGTATGGAAGAGACAGATGGCCTCTGTCTCAAAGTGCATACAGGTGTGTACAGTACTAAAAGACCTGAACTGTTGCTAGCAGAGAGGTCATGATGGGCCTTAAAAGGAATCAGTGAAATCTTTTAACCTAAATATGCTGGGAGCCAGTGTAAAGAGACTGTAACAGAATGATATGATCATATCTCTTGGTTCTGGTCAAAAGTCTGGCAGCTACGTACTTTACAGTCTGAAGTTGATCACTAGCTTTCTGGTTCAGGCAGGTAAAGGGCTGTTGCAGTTATCTAAGTGAGATGAAAACAACATTTAATCTTAAGTGATCACAGTATTAATTTACACAAAGGCTGTCTCAGACTTTTGTACTCATGTCTTCCTTAGTCTTAAACTGGGAGCCACAGACAGGGCAGTAAAGTACAGAGAGAGTGACTTGTTGACAGTAAGAAAAATGAAAGAACAATGCTCTTCAGTATGACGCCTTTAATGATCAAACTGTAGCTTTAAACTGCATTCATTTATTTATTTTTGACCACTTGGTGGCAACTCATCAAGCTTTAAAGACCCTCTCCTGGGAAAAGTGAAGCGTTTTTTCCCTTGTAAAGATGTCTGTATGGTGCTTTCATATGCGAGAAGCCATATCATAAGCAAAATTTGCAGTCGCCATTGGATCAATCCTTGTAGGGTGGGGCTTTCAGAATCGGTTCGAACATATATGGCTGAATTACTCTAACATTGCAGCTTGCCATTGTGTAACGTAGAGCAGTTTCACCGTGTGCTCCATAATGCTCATGAGCTCCAGCTGCAATGAGCGGATTCAGACAGGAATACATTATTTTCATGAATTGTTTTTCTAATTATGTAACTTTGATACACAAAAATGGCTTTTTAGGAGTTAAATCAATGACTGCAGGGGCACTTTAAACACAAAACGGATATATTATTATCTTTCAAAGTTGATAAGGTTAATGTGTTGCAAAATTAATGTGTAGCAAATAGTTGCAGACATGAAGCAACATTACTTTGGAGTTGAAACTGTCGTGTGAATGATTTTACAAATTCATGATCTCCTTTTTGTGTGACAGTCAGACTTTTGATGGTGTCTGCATCAGTGCTCCATCACCTTTTTAAAATGTGTTACACAGCGAAGACTGTAGATATTCTTCCCAAACCGCTGAGCCCTACTTACAGTCACAAGGATTAACTGCTGCTTTCCATCCTGTGTGCTGAGCATGTTTATGTTACATGTGCTTGAGACAACCTTATAGAGAACAGTTGGGCAAAGACGGTGAGCAAACTTGAGATAGTGTGGTGGTGTTATGATGCGTGGAGAATTTGAACATAGAGCAAAGAGGAGATAGTTGTTAATTAGGTAAACTCTGCACGAATCCTCCTGTCAGCTGGGGTCAGGGCACAGAGATCCATCCAAGGAAAAAGCACTGCAGGGGTCCGCTGCCTTTCTCTTGGCATTTTTTAAGGCATTGTAGATGATGAAATGCTACCTCACATCAGCACAAACCTCAAATACCTCACTGCCACTGTGATGCTTTTGAAGCCAAAGGCCAAGATGAAATCATTAGAGTAACCTAAGAGTAATCTTAGATTTATTTCTTCATTTATGCCATTAAAATATGATTCTCTTACATGACGGACAGAAGCAGGTACATAGAGGATAAAGACTAAATGACATGGTGTGCTTCAGTAACATTCCTGAGCTTACTGTCACTGCTGCTCTCTCCATGTTTATCAGCCTACAACCCATGTGATATTTGAAAACAGTGCGGTCTGCACTCTTTCTTAGTCATCAAAGTATTACAATGTGAGTAGAATGCAGAATTTGTACCTAATCATTATTCTATGGGAGACATACGGCCCTAGCGTGTTTGTATTTCCTTTAACCAATCACAATTATCTTGGGTGGTGCTAAGAACAGGATGCACTGACAGTGTTCACTCAAAATAATGCTTGGGGATCTGTTTGGGTAGAACATTTGCAGGCAGGGAGGTGCACACGGTCACTGAAATGGATAATTCACAGAAAAAAAAACTAGCAGGTCTGCTTTATTGCAACATCCGAATCCTCAGCAAAACTTTTCAGCACTTAGGTTTCTGTCCAGAGATGCTTGTTGTTGTTTCCCGTAGTGAAGGGGATTTAAAAAAAAGGCAACATGCAAATAGTGGAAGCGGAGGGGAAAGCCGTGAGAAACGCGTGGCCTGAGTCAGAATAACTACAGAGAAACACAAGACAATATTCTCGTAATTCTTCTGACATGAGAATAAAACTTTCTTTGTTGGTGTGTACCTGACCAACGATTGAAGATTTTCACGTCATTTTGGCTACAGAGGTTTTATTTCTTTGTTTTGTGCGTCATTCTCAAAGCACCAACTGCTAGCTTGTGTTGTAGCCTTGTTTGAAAATCACAAAACCTATGTAACAAAAAGAAACCCACACATCAAGTTCGAGAGCTTTAGTGGTGCTTGAAAAACGATCATATATTAATCATAATCCGAAAAGGTCTTTTTACGTTTGCAAATGAGCTGACACTGGAGTTTCAGCTCAACCACACGTCTGAGATTATCTGCGAGTTAATCATCATGTAGTGTCCCACTGTGGCTTTACAGGCTTTGTCAGCACAAAGCCTTCTGATGAAGTGTAGATACGGGACCATCTCTGCTTTTTTGATGTGCGTAACCTAAAGGATTGTTAGATTTTTTTTTTCTTTATCAGCCACCTGCAGAACTTGCTCTTGATCATACCTTAGTCATCATTTTCTCAAGGTTGAGGCAGAATGTTAATGAGTGTGCAGACCAGATCATTTCAGGGAATATAAAGCGAGCAAGCCAAACATCAGGAGCAGTGATGCTGTTTATGATTTAATGTCAGAGGGAGAGTTTAAACTTTAACAGAATCACGCCACTAGGTGGGACTGTTCACTTTGATAGCACATCCAACTGCTGCCATGACATTCTGTGGCGACCAGTGTATTTCAAAAACTGGCCATTTTCACAGCCCAGTAGAGACAGTGTGCCATGTTGCCTTGGAAGACTGTGTTTACTGAATTTGGTTGCGTGTGCTGCTAAACAGTTGGTGTAAACAGTGTAAGTGTTAATGTGTTGGGACTAAATGCAAAAGAATCCCCAAAGCACAGGGATAGTACTGTGCCTCTGTGTGGTTGGAAATGTCCTTAATTCAATTTAATGAAAAAGTCTTTCGACAGTTATGTGCCAACTATTTTAATAATTTCAGTACTGCCATTATTGTGTTCCTTGCATTTGGCAAGACTGACTTGCCGTGCACATTTCTGATGACTTTTACCAGCCTGTAGTGTTTCACTGAGGGTAAAAACTTGAAGTCTGGGATCACTTATAATCCAGAGAGCTTCCCTTTCTAGATTTATCATTATATTTCTCACTTGGTTTCATCTCAGGCTTCCCTGTACTTGTCGCTAAGCTAGCTCTTTGTGTCCACAGTGCTTTGGCAAACACAACTCTTTTTTTTCATTTAGATTTTATGAATGGTCTTGTAGCTTTCTAATGTGGATACTGTAATCCACATGAAGACCATTTTCAGTACATTTTGATTTGCTGTCACTCTGCACACACACTGCCACATGATGGATTACAAGAAAACTGCATATCATGGCTTTTGGTGAGAGCTCTTACATGCACAATATTTTCTGTGCCATTCTTTCCTGTCTGCTTCAGTTATTGCTTACATGTCATTTTCAACTAGAGAAGGAGCACGCATATTTCTCTTGAGTAGTACCCGTGTTCTTCAGAATATCAAATCCTCTCACGTTTGGCCTAAAATCAATATGATCTTTTGCCAATCTGTATTTATTTCTGTGT